ATCTTATTAGCTTTCATCTAGATTATATATCCAAAGTGTTGTCATTATTTCTTGAGGCATGTGCTAATGTAGTAGAATGGCTCCTAGGATATAAAGATGATGTTGGCTATCCTTTGGTAGTGGCACAAGGCTTCATGGTTACAATTTTTCAGAAACCCAATCAATACAAAGTATATTTATGCGTTGTTAAATTGGCAAAAGAGTTATATAATATTTCTTTATAGTATAATAACTTTTGTAACTTATGTGATATTAATCTTGTGAGGAGTTTGTTCTTTTATATAAAATTCTAATTAACAACATAACATGCTAGAATGCTTAGTTTTAATATTTAGTAATCATTAACATCTTACTGTTCATATGCTTGCTCCTTTTCTTCTATGGTTTTATTTCGATAGATTTTTCATAACTTAAATTAGATGGATGAAATGCTAAGACATACATTTACATCAACAACAAGAGGCCTTTTAAGCAACAATCATAGCCATGATATAAGCTTTAAACTCTTTTCATATTTCTCTAGTTATAAGCAATTTTTATAATCTCTTTTCCTTTGATATTTCTCATGTTATTTAGATGAGAGCAATCACTCTTTCTTGGAATTTATTCACTGTTATTTCATGGGTAATGATTTGCTTTTCCTTTTAAATAAATTTGAATCTTTTTAGGATTTATAAATGGGATTCCATGGTATTGATGTGGTTTAATTTTAGGCATTCATTCACTCTTATTTCATAGTTGCAATTTGAGTTAGCATAACAAATCCATGACTCAGGATATAAGATCGGGAAAACCCACATAAAAGATAGGAAAAAAAAATCACGAAGCTTAAGGCTCATTAATATAAAGTCGAAGGATGAAATTGTAAAATAATCACTTTATAAAAAAATACATAAAAAACTAAAGTTAAATCTGGTTAATATCTGAAACTAGTGACCTAGATTATGAGATCTAGATCACCTCGTAGAAGGTAAACACTAAAAATTACTAAGAAAAATCCCTAATCATTTAAAGTTGTAAATAAAATAAAACAAATAGCAATCAAAATAATAAGAACCAAATCTAGTATAAAAACTCAATAAAAGATAACAATGAGGGACTAAATTGAAAACTAAAATAATTTTTTTTAAAAGATAAAATAATAGTAATAAAAAGAATGAGAACCAACACTAGATTAAAAATTAAATGAAATAAAATGACAAGGGATGAAATTGAAAAAAATAAAAAAATTATAAAACATAAAAAAATAGTAGTAAACAAATGAGGATAAAATTGAATAAAAATAATTAATTAAAATAAAATGCCTAGGGCAAAATTAAAAAAAAAACCCTTTAAAAAGCATTAAAAAAAATAAATAATAATTAAAAGAGTGAGGGCTGAAACTAATAGAAATATAAATTGGAGGACACAACAAATTTTTGAAAGGGTTGATACGTATTTCTAGGCTATGTGAGAGAAAAGAGAGGAAAAGAAAAAAAGCTCATCAAAGTTAAATTGCACCATTTTTGTGATCACGTGCCCCACTATCGTGACAAGGATGACACAATAATTTCAACGCTGTCACAAATAACAATATTTTAACACCCAGAGGAGTCACTTATTGTCCGAAAAGTATGAATGCCTTCTACTCATCGGTGATGGCTATATACATGCTACCCTTATTTTATTTTATTTTTAGGTTTATTAAAAGATCTAATTGCTCCTCATTTAATAGATAATTACATAAAAAAAACATATGGAAAAAACTTAAACTCTTAACTATAAGTCTTACTTTTTTTTTTAATTTTAAGAGAAATGTGGTTATTTTACTATTCATTTAAAGTATAAAAGACCAAAAATCCACTCTACCCAATTTTAGCTATTTTTACTTTTTTGGGTATGTAAGTCATTACACAATTCATTTAAAACATAAAAAATATTGATTTGTCTCTAATCAATATAAAAATGATGAATGAATCCTAAAGGAAAGACTTTTTTACCCCTAAGACCAAGTTATATAAATTTTTGTTTGCAATGGTAAAATGTCTTGGTGCACAATAAATCAACGAGGCTTTTCAATTCTAAAGTTGAAAGATAAAATTTTTAAAAATATAAATAAAAAAAGAAAAAAAAAGAATACCCGAGTCAATTTAGTTTAACTTGCAAAATACAGAATCCATGTAATGAAATTGAGATAACTCTATAAAAATAAAATATAAAAAAATTACAAAATCCAATTTCCAACTAACCCAATATAAAATAATAAAATTAAAAAAATCAATTAAAAAAAAAACTAAAGTTAACTTGAGTTAACATGTTAAACTAGGGACCTAAGTAATGAGATCCGAATATCTTTATAAAAAAATAAAAAAAATTATAAAACTCCATTCCCAATAAATCTAATGTTAAAGGATAAAATCAAGAAAAAAAATTCATGAAAACGAGATAACTCTATAAAAAAAAATTACAAACAATTACAAAGCCTAAGTCCTAAACAATTAAATATTAAAAGATGAGATTGAAAAAAAAGAAAAAAGAGAAGAAGATCCAGTTGTTGTGGGGTGAAAATGAAAAAAAAAATCAATTAAAAAATAAAAAAATAATTTGAGACATTTTAGGTCAACTAGGAAACCTGTAACTTGGATTATGAGATCTATAGTTATTAAACTTGGATTGGCCTGACGGATCAACCTAGGACCTAGTGGCTGAAACCGGTTCAGGTTTGCTAAAAGACCAATAAAACCTGGTTGACCTAGCGGGTCAACCTATGACCTGGGAGAACCCGAACTAAACCAAATATTTTTTTTCTTTTTTGAATCTGGTTTTTGTTTTTTGGACTCCTTTCTTATTTCTTTATCTTCTCTACAATGAGTGGTTGTTAGCAGCAAAGAGAAAGGGAGAGTGAGGGACATTTTTATGTTTGGCTGTCGCTAGAGGCTGGTTAAAGGAGAGAGAGCTTAGTCTCGGTTTAATAAAGATAGAAGAAGCTAGAGACAATATCTATGGGGCTAGTCTCCTGTGTTAATGGGTGGCGGCTCTGGTTTGGCTAAGACGACGGCGACTGGTAAAGAAGAAGAGGGGCTCTCTAGTTTTGGCCAAAAGACCAAGAGGATGACTGAGAGAGGAATGAGAGAAGTTGTGGCTAGACCTCTGTGGTAGCTGCTTTGGCCTGACAAAAAGGGAAGCTTTGGCTGGTTTTGGGAGAGAAAATCCATGAAACAAGGGTTGACCTACACTATGTTCCCACACTCTTGGGTTTTCCTCAAATCAAATCCCCTCTTGTTGGGAATCAAGAAACATAAAAGGAAGCTCTGGTCATGCATACTGTATGGAGGTAGGTTGTTGTAGAAGCTGAGGCTAGTTATTTTTTTGTTTTCTATAAATATGACGATGTATTGTAGTGGTTCTAGTATTAGTAGAGCAGTAGGGTGTTACAACCCTCATAGACAAAAAAAGAAAGTGACTTATTGATTACTCGAGGAATTATCTTCTGAAAGTCAGTGGGAATAAAAGGAGGAATTATCTTCTGAAAGTCAGTGGGAACAAAAGGATCGACTCTCAAGATGGTGCTGTCACTAGCATTTGTGGGATGGCATAGGACACGCTATTCAAGTTGTTGTATGCAGGTGTGAGCTATTGTTTTTGTGGTTTGTGGTGTAGTGTTTTGATTATGAAATCTTTCTATACAGTTAGGGTGTCATTTGAGAGGAGACTTTAGAAAAAAACAATCTAAATAATGTTCATTTTTGACTTTCAGTATCTAACTTTAAACCCCAGCTCTTTTGCCACTACAACTTGGACACTTGTATTACTTGATATGCTCAGCTTGGCAAGTGTAATCTTGACGTATCAATTTTAAATATTTTTTTTTTAAATTTTTTTGGGTTGATTTGGGTTGATCCATGAAATCTAGAACTCAGCTCTTTAACTAGGTTAATCTTCAAGCTAGGTTTGATAACTATGATGAGATCTGAATAATTCCATGAAAAACAAATGAAAAAAATACAGTCCAATAAAAAAAAAAAGAAACAGAGTCAATCTAAGTTAATTTGTCAAACCCAAACTATGATGAGATCTGAATAATTCCATGGAAAACAAATGAAAAAAAATACAGTCCAATAAAAAAAAACCAGAGTCAACCTAAGTTAATTTGCCAAACCTACAATCCAAGTTATAAGATCAAAATAATCTTATAAAAAAAGATAAAAAAAACTATAAAGCTCAATTTTCCACCAATCCAATATGAAAGGATGAAATAAAAAAAATATCAATAAAAAAAAACAATCTAAAAAACACAACCTGAATTAACCTAGTTTAACCTAATAAATACAAGACATGAGTCATGAAATTAGACTAAGTTCGCAAGCAGTTAATTGAGAAAAAAATCATGAAGCCTCACTTTCAACTAATATAATGTTAAACGTTGAAATTGAAAAAAAAAATCAAATCTATGAAAAAAATATATAATCCAATAAAAAAGAAATAAATTTTATTTACCAAACACAATTCTAAAAATAACCTAAAAGATAAAATTAAAAAAAAAACTAAACAACAAAAGAATTTTTTTTTCCAATAAATAATATTTCATGGATGTAGCTAAAAATGATTTAACCACTAATGTTAGTTTTATAAATGATATACTTTTTACACGTGCTGCATCAAAAAAATAAAAATAAATAAAATAAAATAAAATGAATGAATACGGGAGTTGATGTCAGTTACATCATTGTAACATGTATATCTGATGCCATACTTCAAATCCACACCATGATTACTGAAGAAGAGAAACTCTCTGTTGAATGCTGAATTCTATGATCTTCTCCTGATAATTATTTTAACCAATCATCAAATTAGGTTCTTGTGGATATGATTGCATGATTGGTGAAGAAGTAATATCCTCCTTGCTAAGAAGAAATTTCTCACAACCATAGTTAAAATAAAACAATGGCATCCCCTCAATGTCATCAACCATGAAAGAATAGAACCAGAGTGCTTCCATGAAAGAATAAACAAGAGGGCAATTCATAATGGAATTCTAAATTTAAAACAGTTGACTGCCTATAAATTTTCAATTCAATTGAAAGTGAGTAAAATGATATCAGTTTTCTACAAAACAATAATTCAAACCAATCATCATAGCCTGCTAATTACCCTAGATACAAGGGCAAAAGAATGAAGGGATAAACAAGATTGGCAGGACCACCAATATATAATGTTTCAAAATTGAAGAAATATCATGCACAGGAGCCATTCCAATGTATAATGTCTTGGATCATGAGTCTGGAGTCTGGACCTGGAAATGTAAAGGGGAATTAGGAGAACTTGAAGATATCAATCATGGTGATTCTACAGATGTTACACGACGGGTCTATGAAATCATGGTGATTCTACAGATGTTACACGCGGGTCTATGATTGAACTTTATTGAACTTTACGTAAAGAACATTAGATAATTATGCTCAAAGTGGAAATTTCCCCACGAATAATCCTTAGATTACTAACAACTCTCCTATATTCAGCTGATATTCTACTTCAACAGACACTTAGATAGTACAAAGAAAGCTCAATGAAGGAAGCAAAACTCACAATACTCGGTTCCAATGAGAGTACCAAATCTAATTCAATATTGCTAGACACTTCAAAGATCTAACAGTGACTCCAGCCATGAAGTAAATTAAACTTGTTGCATCCAAAAACTGGAAAAAAGCCTATTCATGATTTCCATGGAGAACTTATTGAGACTTTCTCTGAGGCATTTAGATCTCTTCCTGTTGTTCATTTAGTTCTTCATTTAGGCGAAGCATTCTTAAATAGGGTTCTTATTTCTATGAACTTCATATAAATCATGCATGTCACACTCAATGGAATTTTTCAACATTTGTAAGAGCTTCATTTCTGTTTCTCATGACCTTTTTATAGATGACTTGCAGTGCCAAAATTCCAAATCACACAACTCCAATAGTCCATATAGAATGAAATAAAAAAAAAAGTTCGCAAAATCAAATCCTTGCAAAAGTAGGCTTTACCTCAGGATAAGATGACCAGTCCAAGATATATGGATGCACTCAGAAATAAAAATGAGATTATTCCCCTGCAATTGAAGTCACACAGAAAAAGGAAATGCAGAATTGTTAAAAGTGCACAAACTCCCTTATCACAGACATTGACTCTATCAACCTTTTAAGGTCCTGTCAAAGGTTAAAAGCTCACCAAATGACTCCCCAACAAGCACCGGTACAAGGGCAAGGGCATATTTCTGCAAACTTCTCAGCATCACTGGAGTGGACTCTTCGAGATATTAGATCGTCATAAATATCTGCAGACCATTTATATTGGCCAGATAGAATCAATAATTATATTAATGACGCATGGTTAATTAAAAGGACAATAGAAGAACAAGAGAATATTCACCATAAACCGAAAACAAACTGTTCATCACACCTGCAATTGCAAGACAGAATATCAGCTAAATCTCTATTTCATTCACCTTAACAGTGACACCAAGGTAGAAAAGGAAGTTCAAATAAAAAAGGGAAGGTATAATGGGACAAGCATATACCAATAAAGAGAATGACATATCGGAGGATTCGTACAGTTGTTTTTTCTTCCAGTACCCAAACAACAGCGAGGAAAATAATGAATCCTGAGAATGGGGTTTGTTAAATACAAGATGTGAGTATCGAAGACAGTGTATATCAACAACAACAATGTATGAATGAATTGTTGATGGACATTCATGAAAACGCTCACCAATACAAAGTCCTCGAAGAGTCCACTGCAAGAAAAAAAATCAAGTGAAAACATACAAATTTAAAGCTTGAGAAAACCTTTCAAATGAATGTCAATAATCTGATACAGATCATCATATTTAGGGATTATAATATATTGCAGAAAATATAATCTTCTTGTGTCACTATCTTACATTCTGAGCAATAAAGAGAACAATTAACAGGGCAACAGCCAAGCAACCAGCTGCTATTCTTGCAGTAATGAGATTTGTGGATGCAAGTACCAAAGCCATCCCCCAAAATGACGAACCAAGATCTGGAAGCACAAGGCAATGGCACAAAATGTGAGTGCCACAAGGAAGCAGCACTATAGAGAACATGTCTAAAATCGAGTATCATAAAAACTAACAGAACAAACATTGAGAGTTAATGAAAAAAAAGATGTCCAAAGCAAACTCTTCATGGCTCCTGTGTAAGCTTCTAAAGCATAATCACTGAGAAAGATAGCACTTTCAAATTGATGTTTCATATTGGACTTGGCAAAACTAAAAAAAGGGGCTCCACAACAAGTTTGCCTTGCATTGTACTAATCCATAAACATGTATTGGTTACAGAGGCAAATAAGACTTGAAATTGGAGTAGTTCTAGAAACAAGCAATAAAAACTAGGCCCACTGTGATTAAAAGAAAAACTTTCAAGGGCAAAAGGAATGTACATCCTGCAGGCAATATCAACCAGTAGACACCACCGCGTGTCTGTGTCACTCCGCCTTCATTCGCATGAACTTGAATCCCTTCCACCTGCATTGTACAGTGGATACTACTAAACTAAAGATGAGCATTCCTCAACGGAGATCAAGAAGATAGTATGAAATAACAATTATGGTAGCTATTTGTAATTAATTATGCTATAAAAAAAATACAAAGTCTATCCATATCACAGGAAAGAAAAAATAATCATTCAAGGAAAAAATCACGGTGAAGGGTGAACATAACAGCCAAACAATCAGAAGTCAGTGCCATACTTATAGAACAAGGCAGGATGTCCTTATTGAAAATTTCATTTGCAACTAGCTATAACTCTGAAGAACCATTCAGAAAGTCAAATTAAGGTATGATAGACAAGATGAATAACATTTAAGTCATCTTTTCATTGACCAAAGAACTCATTTAGATCATCATTTCAATCAAAGCAATGGCACTAAAGGCAACTTCATGAACTGCTTTTCAAGAAAACCAATTACTTCCCTTAATAAAAACAGAAGTCAAAATACCACAGAATCTATCTAACAAGAGCATGTCAAGTTGTTGTTTCCTCATGCATAATGGCACGTTGAAATCTATGAATACAAACATCATACATCTGACTCAACTACAAAGTAAACTATATGCATTCTGATACATAGCTTAAGGTTGTAAACAAAGAACCCAAGTTCTCACTAAATTATTCCTTAATATGACGGGGAATCATGAAGTACATTAGAGAGTTAATTGTGAAGATCACTTTTATTAGTTAATAAGGAAAAATGATAAACTACACCCTTTGAGCGCCTAAAAACCTCATCTTCCAATAAGCAAGAAAGCATGAAGTATACCTCAATATGCACATGAATTCACATTAAAAGCAGCAAACAGCAAGCTAGTTAATATTGGATCAAACAAGCATGAAGCATGTTAATAGTAATGCACAGAATTCCACTTAAATGATGAGTCAAATTTTGAGGGAAGCAATATTACCTAACAGAAAAAGTAACGTGCTTTCTTTCAAACTCCCTAATTGCATCTTAAATTATATATTAGGCAAAGAACGAGCTTCATACCTGACCACATGTCAGTTTACAAGCAATCGCATGACTTACTTCATGCAAAAACACAGTGATGAGCTTAAAGGGTGTCATTATGAACGTCCTCCATAACTGCAACAATAAAAATTCAACAATTCAGTGTCAAAGAACAAGTCTAACACAACCGGACCGCATAAAAAGTGCCAAGGGCATCTCAATTTTCATCAATTAGTGTAAAAGACTAAACATAATTTAGCCAATTAGAACTACTCATAACCCATCAAAGCAAATCTTTGACAAAGTTGATTTGATCTTCTAATCTTTCAAAACACAGAGGTAACAAAACATAAAAGAGCCCAAGAAGCCAAAGCCAAAAACAAGAGACAGAAAACTGCACGTACCGCGAGGATAACAACAGAGAAGATTGCAATGGTGACCAGGAAGGAGACCTGGTCATGTTTGCAGCAGTTCTTCAGTTCCCAATTGGGCATTTTCGGGCTTGGAAGGTGAGAAAATGAGAAAAAGTCCAGAGAAAAACTACACAAAGTAAGAAACTTTGATGGGTTCGTTTTCTTTATAACAAAAACCCCTCAATTTTTCTTCAAAAAAACAAGGGTCCTGTCAGGTTTTGCTTTGTTGTTGGACCTGAACGTTGTATTGTTGAAATCTCAAGGAGAAGAGAAAGAGCTTATTGCGCGTTGGATAGGTTTTTTTTAAAGATTATTTTGGAGCTTAGCTGTTCTCGCTGAGGGAATTGGGCAAGAAATAGAAAATAATGTTTGGGAAACCGTGTTTTTTTTTTATTAACATGTCAAAAACAATTTTTTTAAAATAAAAAATATATTATTTTAATATATTTTAAAAATATATTAAAAAACACTACCCTATTAAATATTTATGAATTCTTCTAGTAGGAAATATTTTTAAATTTATTATGGATTTTACTGATTATTAGTGTGAAATTGGAAAGACTCGAATATCATTTAAAATAATAATATAATAGTTGGGTTTAAACTCCAGGAAATTTCCTTGTGAAGACTTGAGTTTGTAAAGAGGTGAGAATCTATCAGCTAATATACATTTTGAGAATTGTTTTTTAAGGTCAATCTTGTAATATTAAGCAAGTCGAAATATGCTGAGGGTAATTTTGTATTTTCACGTGGAAATTCAAATCATGGGGGTGGGGGGTCAATTATTGGATGTGGCAAAGGTGATTCCCTTTTTAAGTCAGCCAATGCATGTCCTAACGGAAGGCTGTCACGTGTGAACAGCTCCAGTTTCATTAAAATTTTTATAAGGCCACTATTCATTAAAATAAGGTGGTGAGAAGAAGGGAAAACAAAATATAATAATAATAAAAAAAAAGATGCGATTGGAAGGATAGTTGTTAGCCTGAGGGTTGATTTTTGAATGGGTTGTCCGTTGACACATTCCAGTTTAATTGTTAATTGTGTTTTTAGACATTTCTGATGCTGATGTATTAATTTTAAAAAATAAAAAAATATTATTTTTAATATATTTTCAAATAAAAAATACTTAAAAAAATAATTTTTTCCACGTTACCAAACAAACTCTTATAAAACTTTTAAATTTAAAGCAGGGTTAAGATTAATATTTTAGTTAAATAGATAAGATTTTGAAATGATGAAACTTAATTAACTTGATTAGATTTTTAGTTACGTGATTAATCTAGTTCTAATAAAAAGATAAATATAATAATATAATTTTAATAAAAATAATTTATCCAGGTTGCATCGATGACCTGCAAGATAATCCAATAACTTAAGTAATATTTAATCATATCTCATGGTAGAAGATATAAAAACAGTAAGAATAAAAATATATTTCTAAACTAAATTTAAAATGAAAGTATAAGCATGTATAATCTTATATCCCCCTATTTTTATTTCTTTTATCCCCGGTGAGTAATTAAACGCTACTTATTGATTTAAACTATTTCTTTCCAAGGCAAGAGCTATAATAATAATAATAAAAAAGATAGTCTTTTTTTTAAAAAAAAGAAGAAGTTACAATCAAATCAAATGTTATTTAGGTAGCCTAATATCACGACATTTGTATATAAAATTAGATATCTTGGAATAGCTAGGTAACCATCCTATATTTAATATTCAAAATTAAGTGGCGATTTTGGTTGACACGGCAAACTTCTTTGTTATTTTCTATCCCTGCAACGTTGTGATTTTGGTTCCTGGGCAAAGCAAGAAAACCCAGCCAGGTCTCTTATACGACCTGATCGACGCTGCTACGATACTTTCTGACTCGTTCATGTCTCTGAATAGGATCATGGGAATATTCATTTTCTTTGACCTAAACACTACTTCAACTTTGGAGACAACGTTGTCATCGAGTCAGAAAAGAAAGAAGGAGCACCCAAGGCAACGGCCCAGCGGTGGAATGGCGCCTTGCGCTTTCTGCTGTCACGGGTTCGAGCCTTGGAGTTGCATGCCTGTCAGCCCCGCGCTGCCTTACCTGCCTGCTGGGTTTGCAGGGTGTTCAGTGGGCCGTGGGGATTAGTCGTGGTGCGCGTAAGCTGGCCCGGACACCCCACGTAAATCAAAAAAAAAAAAAAAAAAAAAAGAAAAGAAAAGAAAGAAGGAAGTAACAGAGCGGGTGCTGGCCCTTTTCTGTTTTATATGTACTGGGAAAGTGCTGGCAAATTTCGAGATTTTGTGTGGAAATGTATCCGAAAATTTGTTTAAAACATGGTTACAATTTAAAAGAGAGAGATCTACTAAATTTTAGGATTAAAGCTTTGATAAAATTTAATCTTTATCGTTAGATTCTTAATATAAAATATTAAAATGACTTGAACAAATTGTGACTAAATAAAAAATTGATATAAAAAAACACTTGGTTTATATATTTTGGAGAAACTTAAATCAGTTATAAATCTTTGTCCCACATAAAAAAAGAAGAAGAAGCTTTGTTTGTTGTTTATATAATAGATATGTGAAAAGTTAAAATTTGGACTCAAATAACACAGCATTTTTAGCTAAAAAAATCTTATTTAAAGCCAAAACATTAAGGTTTGATTTTGGTTTTATAGTGGGTAATCAGATTAATAATAATGGAGAGAATTTATTTTGATAATTATTAAAATTAACTATGCATAAGTTTTCATTCTAAAATTATTTATAAAAAGAGTTGAAAAAAAATGTTTTGGGTTAATATTTTTTTGCACATATTTTACAGTAATTTTAATCTCCATCTTTACTTATATATTTTTTTTTACTTTGCTTCTCTGGTTTTAAAGCTTTATTTTTCTTATTAATTTCTTTTCTAATCTAGAGCTTATGAACAATTCTTGTAAAGACCAATAAAAAGTATTCATGCAAAACATTTAAAATATTTTAACATCAAAATATCTCATTAATCCACTTCATGAGCTTCACAAATAAACAAATTCAAGCATATAACTATCAAACACACATAATTCATTCTATTTAAATTATACCAGTTATAAATCTGTCCCACATAAAAAAAAGAAAAGAAAAGAAGAAGAAGCTTTGTTTGTTGTTTATATAATGGATATGTAAAAAGTTAAAATTTGAACTCAAATGACACAACTTTTTAAGCTCAAATTTTTTTATTTAAAGTCAAAACATTAAGGTTTAATTTTGGTTTTATAGTGGGTAATCAAATTAATAATAGAAAGAATTTATTATAGTAATTACCAAAATTAATTATGTATAAGTTTTGATTCCAAAATCATTTATAAAAGGAGTGGAAGAAGAGTGTTTTGGGTTAGTTTTTTTTTTCCCCACATATTTTATAGTAATTTTAAGCTTTATCTTCACTTATTTTTTTTACTTTGCTGCCCTGGTTTTAAAGTTTTATTTTCACTATTAATTTTCTTTCTAATCCAGAACTTATGAACAATTCTTGTAAATACCTATAAAAAATGTTCATATAAAACATCTAAAGGATTTTAACACCAAAATATCTTATTAATCCATCCCATAAGCTTCACAAATAAACAATTCAAGTATAGAACTATCAAACACACATAATTTATTCTTTTTAAACAAATAATCATCTAGTCTATAAGACTTTCTAAACATTGACTTATCACAAGCAATGTATATATTAACAAAGTCACTATCACTAGCATGCATTCTTTTACATATTCAATTCCTAACTTTTTATTTATAGTATAAAAAAGAATATACCTCTTAAATAATGCATCAATAACTACATTTTCCTTATCTTACTTGTATTTAGTTATAAGTAAGGAAGTCTCAATAAATTTCACCGACTTGACATGTTGATTCAACTCACTTTATTGCTTCGAGTATTTTAGTGACTAATGATCTAAATGAATTACAAATTCTTTTGACCATAAATAGTGCTACCAAGTCTACAAAGTCCTCGTCAAGGTGTAAAGTTTCTTACCATAAGTTAGGTAGTTCAATACTATACTATTAAGCTTTTTATTAAAATAAACAATCACTAGCTTCTCTTGTATTAAGAAAACTCCAATACTTATTTCTAAAAATCACACTCAATCTCAAAAGTTGTAGTAAAGTAAAGTGATGCTAATAAAGGTACATGTCATAAACTTATCCTTTCTTTAAGAATTATTATTTTGTTCAATATTTCATTTAAAACTAACTTTCTGATGATTTTAGGGAGTGATGCAACTAGTATGCTAAAATCCTTAATAAATATTTTATAAAAACTAGTCAAACCATGAAAACTTATTACCTTGGTTTTTAACTTAGGTGTGAGTTATTCTTGGATAACCTTGATTTTTTCCTCATCCAGCTTTATATTTTTTATACTAACAACATAACCAAAAATATAATATTTTTCATAAGCAAATAATGTTTCTTTTCTTAAAACATTAAATACAAAATGCAAATGCTCAATATGTTCATCCAATCTCTTGCTATAAACCACGTTATCATCAAAATACACAACAAAAATCTTTTAATAAATACATACAACGCATGATTCATCAATCTCATAAAAATATTAGGTGCATTAGTTAGACCAAATGACATCACTAACCATTCATAAAGTCCATGCTTAATTTTAAAGGTAATTTTTCATTTATTTTCTTCTTTCATCCTAATATGATGATATTAATTTTCTAAATCAACCTTTATAAAAATACAAGAACCATGCAATTCATCTAACATATCATGAAGCCTAGAAATTGAATGTCTATACTTTATCATAATGTTATTAATAGCATGGCAATAAAAACACATCTTCCAAGTTCCATCACTTCTAGGCATAAGTAACATCGAAACAACGCATTGACTCTTGTTTTGTATTATACATTCTTTAGACATTACTCCTCAACTTACCTTTAAAGTTTCTTTGTCTTCTCAAGATTACTTTGATAAGTTGGTCAATTAGTAATTGTAGCACCGAATATAAGATCGATTTGATATTTAATTCTCTTTATTGATGGTAAACTAGTAAAAATCTCTTCGATAAACATATCTTTAGATTTTTGTATTTAAAACATTTCCAAACTAAGAAGACAAGAATTAAGTTTATTAGTGTTAAGATAAGTCTCTTTATACACAAGTACACTCATCACCTAACTAGAATAAAAAAGCACTATTGATCTCACTCTTTTTTGCATTAAAACATAGATGTTTGTATATTTCTCCCTAATGGCTCACAATATTTTCTCTCCTCTCTAAGCTTAAGACCTTTCCATGATTTCACTCCTTTTGGACTTACTTTCCATGATTTCACTCCTTTTG